ATCTATCATCTATCTATCTATCTATCTATCTATCTATCTATCTATCTATCTATCTATCTATCTATCTATCTATCATCTATCTATCTATCATCTATCATCTATCTATCATCTATCTATCTCTATAATCTATCATCTATCTATCTATCTATCTATCTATCTATCTATCTATCTATCTATCTATCTATCTATCTATCTATCTATATCTAATATAAATAGCCGTTTTTGGGGGGCATTTTCTGGCTGGTCTTGAGCAATTTTCAGGCTGTTTTCATGCCATTTTTCATGCCGTTTTCAGGCCACTTTTGGCCCGAAGAACAGCTTGAAAACAGCCCAAAAGTCTCCAGAAAACAGACATGCACTTGCCGGCCAACTGGTCTTCTGCTTGGGCACTCGGTGCTGAAAAGGTTTGCCATCATTGCCTTAGGACATTCCTTTAACGCAGGGCTGGTTTGATCTTTGGGGCTTTGACACCCCAGGAAAAGGAGAGGCCAGAATGAAAATTAGGTTCCGTTTCTATTGAGAATTCGTATTGATGGCCACCCAACTGGTTCCCACAACCCTGGGTGGCTACGCATACGTTCTAGACCTACAAAGATACCAATCTCAAAGCAATATTCTGTGTAGAACTGGAGAAGCTTTTTGGGTAAGTGAAATGTTTCCAAAGAAGGGGAAAAAACCAGTTGCCTTTCGAAAAAGCACCTGTGGGATAAAACCTACAGAGTTAAGTCTGCATCGTTTAGTCTTGTGGGAAAGGACTTCATCCCAGCGTAGCATCTCTCGTTTTTGAGACCAACCTGTCTTTCCCGGGTAGGAGGCAGGAATTGGTTTGTTTAGTTTATTAAAAAGAAGGACTCCAGGGGAGACATAATAGCATCTCCCCATGTAGGAGGAGCTGCCACCAAGAAGAGGGAGTCACAGGTATTCCCCAGAGCCCCCAGAAGGCAGGACAAGACACAACAGATGGAAGTAACAGGTGGGAAGTTATCAGAGAGGAGCCACCTGGAACTAAGGATAAATTTCCTGACAGTGAGAACAATTAATTAACCAATGGAACAATTTGCTTCCAGAAGTTGTGGGCGCTCCATCCATGGAGGTTTTTAAGAAGAGACTGGAAAGCCACTTTGTAAGTGTACAGTCCCAGATTGTAATCGAACAGATTAAGAGAGTTGGAAGGGACCTTGGAGGTCATCTAGTCCAACTCACCCACTCCCATGCTCAAGCAGGAGACCTTGCACCATTTCTGACAAAAGGCAGTCCAGTCTCTTCTTGAAAGCCTCCAGGGATGAAGCTCCCACAACTTCCGAAGGCAACTTCTCTTCCATTGAATATGGAATACCAGAGTTGGAAGGGACCTTGTAGGTCATCTAGTCTAACCCCCCGCTCAAGCAAGAGACCCTACACCATTTCTGGCAGAGGGCAGTCCAGCCTCCTCTTGAAAGCCTCCAGGGATGAAGCTCCCACAAGGTCTGAAAGGAGCTTCTCTCTGTTCTGTCCTTCAGATCGAAGAAAACCTTCCCCTGAGGTCGGAGAGCCGGCAAGGGAGCTTCCGCGGGGACAGCCTGTGCCGGGAGAGCCTCCGAGCGGATAGCCTGTGCCGGGAGAGCAGGCAGGGCAGCTTCCGGACAGACAGCTTCCGGGAAACCAGCCTTTGCTCAGTGATGGTGAGTGGAGTCAAGCAAGGAGACAGCCTCAGCTTTGCAAGGCCAACAGATTCTAAGATCCTCACATTTTCATTTGTTTTTTTTTCAAATGTTGAATTAATTATGCTGACTAATGTATATGTATATTAACTCATCAAGTATGGTAGTAATCCTTTTATTACCTATTTCCTCCATCTACTGGTTGCACATCATTATTATTATTATTATTATTATTATTATTATTATTATTATTATTATTATTATTATTATTATTATTAT